GGATCGGCGCGTGCGTGGCTGAGCCCGGAGCGGGGTGCGGGGTGCGGGGTGCGCCTGCTGCTGTGCAGACCCCGCTAGTCCCGCATTACGGAACCCGTGGGTCCTGACCCAAAAGTAGGGCGCGAGAGTATAGGAAAGGGTTGCGAAGACACTTTAAAAATGGAACAATGCACTTTTCACCACGACTTCTCCGCTAAAGGGGAAAAATGTGGGAAACTGGCTTTTCCTGTCCGCACACCCAGCCCCTGCCCCGCACCCGGGGGGCTGGGGGCTACGTTATTATTGATAATCCCCATTATCACTAGTAAAATATACTTACAATACTTTGAGTAGCATATTTACATCAAGAACTATATACATACACACACATATATGCATATATACATATGTATGTATCTAAATACATGTGTGTCCATATATACACCCATTCAGTCCGTCCAGGAAGAGCACGCACCAGCTGCAGAGACTTCCTCAGCCTGACGAAGTGGGTTTGGACCTGAAGGCTTGCTAAATTTTTTCCCCCAACTATTTAAATTGGTCAAATAAAAGATATCAGATTCACCCAAATAACCTTGTCTACATACATATCTATCTATCTATCTATCTATCTATCTATCTATCTATCCACCTTTGTCTATATCTATATTCATATATCTATATGTATTTACATCTATCTATATAGCTATTTTTTACTTATGTATCTATACGTATATATGTACCTATACAGCTATACCTATATGCCTGTCTGTGTCCACACATATAAGATGTGAGAGACAGCCATAGCTATAGCTATGGACATATTCATCTATTTGAGGAAAACAAATAGAAAAAACTATGGGCAGAAAGGCATGGGATTTATTTGGGGCTGGGGCAAATCTTGATTTCCTTTGGCGTGTTTTTTCTGGTTTTTTGTGGAGGGTTTCTTGGGTTTTGTCTTTTCTTTCTCAGCTTTTGGGCGTGCTGTTTGTCATTTGAGGGAGGTGTCTTATTGGGGGCTGGGCTGTGGCGATGCCTGGCACAGCTGCAGTTTCTTTGCTGGGTGTATTCGCCTTTTTTGGCACTGGTTTTGGGGCATTTTGGGGGGAAATTGAGGGGGGATAAATTGCCATTTAGGAAGATACCTTATTTCTTGGGAAGGGGTTGAGAAGCTATGTGTTTGTTTGTATATGTGTGTGCACATGTATGTGCATGTGTGCACACACACTGTGTGTGTGTGTTTGCCTCTGTGTGTGTGTGTGGGCACACGTGCATGTGCACATACATGTGTTGCAGGGGGTGACTTGGGTAAGGGCCCCCCAACTTCTTCCTGCACTGGGGGCAGTCCAGGGCTGGCAGGACAGGGCAGGGGACCCAGTGGTCCCTATCCCAGCAGCCTGGGGTAGCACAGGCACCCACACCCCCTGGCCAGGAGACGGTACAGTTCGAATGCACGGAGGTTGTGACACCAGTGAAAAGGGACCCAAGAGCCCCAGCTCCCAGTCTCCTGTGCTCTCACCCTCCCCAGCCCCCACTGCCCTCAGAGCTGGGGAGACCCCCATTGTCCCTATCACACCAGCTGTTCTCCCCCAGCACAACAACCCCCCTGGCCCCTCCAGCACCCTGGCTTCAGCTCCAGCCCTGCCCCCTTACCCGCCCCTGGCCCCGGCTGTCCATGATCCTGGTGCCTCACGCTTGCTCAGCTGCCCGGTGTCAAAACAGCTGAGTTTCTGCCAACAGCTGACATTCGCCCTCTCTAGTTATTTTAGGCCTGGCCTGGCCTGGCCTGGGCTGGCGGTGTTAACCCCCACCCTGCTGGGTTTCAGGGACAAGCTGAGCTATGAGCAAGGGGCCCCCAAGAATTGCCCCTCTTTGGAGGCTGTGGGGAGCACTGGGGTCCTGTCTCCTCTTTAGCACTGGGGCCTGGCTGGAGTCCAGGGGGGTTGGACCTTGGCAGGTTCCACCCCAGAGCTAGCTGCATCCCAGAGCCAGGCGAGGGGCCCAGTAGCTCAGCTCTGATACCCCCACTCAGAGCTGGCTGTATGTGCTACACTCAGCCTTGATGCCCACCCCAGAACCAACCGCATGTTAGAAAGGGAGCAGGGGGTCACCTGCCTCTGCAGTGGGGCCTGGGCCTCTGCCTGGGGCTCTGGGGGGATTTGAACCTGCCCCCTTCTGTCCCCCCACATCTCCCTGCAGTGCCAGAGCTGGGCTTTATTGCCTTTGGTGGCAGCCATGGGGAGGTCACCTTCATTTTCCATTTCAGGCTCCCAGACAGGCGGGGGCAAGGCAGAGAAATTGTCGGGGGGGGAGGGCAAGAGCTGAGAGGAGGTCCCCTCTGGGTGCTGTATAGATCCCCCAAGGCCAGGATCACGGGGTCCTGGGCACTGTTCAGACCCCCAACATCGTGGGGGTGT